AAGTAGTATTATTTCATTGTCCTTGGGCAGATCTGACTCGTGGGACAATGAGACATCTGACTTACAATATAGTTGGTATTAAGTTTAGGCATATTCTACGGATGAAGGATCATAATATACTTGCACAACAAGCTAAACTGGTATTTATTGTAAATTATTCGAATACAACTAGTTAGTGGTCTCATTGACAAGTTGTTGTGCGCACTCGACTACGAAATGTTGTTGAAATACAATACAATGAATCTATTTTCCAGTATGACCAAGTCGAAAGAATGTCAGTTTGGACCAATATGGATGAGAGATTCAAATTAACTGATAATCAGATGCTTTTTATAAATGATGATGGTGACAATGATAAAAAAAACTCATATAAATAGTCGACTAATGTATCTAATAGAAAAAATCACCCGCTATTACTAATTTATAAGTAATTTATTTTTTACGATTGTGAGTTTCTTAAAATATTTTTATTTTATTTTTTTATTAAAAAATTACAATAAAAAATCTATAAGTATTAATATATTATTTAAGTAAAAATTAATTTAAATTAAAAGTATCCTTATTAAAAAATTTACATAATTAAAAAAAAAAAAATTGTCTTTTTTCTTATTTTTCATATATATTTTTTTTATTATTATTATTTTTAAATCCAGCTAACCCTAATTGATTAGGAGCGCCAATCCCCCGCCCCTCAAATCTTCCAAAATTCATCTTTCACCTCTGCAAAATTCATCAACGCCTCAACGCCGCAATTTATACATTTGTCTCTTTTTCATCCATAGGCGCCCCTCAAATCGAGCAAAATTCATCCCCCATCCTTTATCCATAGACGCCTTTGACTCTTATTCATCCCTACCCAATCGACAATCACAACTGTCGTCTTCCATTTCTTGTTTTAACTCAAAGCCTAACCTCAAAAACCGTTGTAAATTATGGCCTGGTAGTGTAGTGGTGAACTCGTGATCATAAGGTCATGGGTTCAAACCTCCGACGCCTCCAGGTCTACTTGTTATATATAGTTTGCCTAGTGTAACTTACCCGGATTAAATTTGCAAGGCATTAGGTTCGGCCGGAGGTTTACCTGGAGCATACTCGTTAAGTAGCGGTTGCGGGTTCCCACATTATAAAAAAAATAAAAACCTGTCATCCCCACCCAATCGACAGCCACAAACGCCACCTTCCTCTTCTTCAGTCGAACGCACGTGCGAACCCCACATCTGTATTCCGTTTCAATAATTTTTCTAGAAGATCAGAGATAATATATATATATGTATGTGATTATTCATACAGATAGATGTATTTACTTTTATTTTTTAATCCAAACACGCACACACTCACATACGTAATGAAATTTTTTTCTAACCGCACAAATACATGTATCCACTCAAAACCCCGAACCTAGATCTAATTCTCAAGCAAAAATGTCTCACCATTTGATTTATAAGAATTTGACAAATATATGTATTTATGAATATAAGTGTAATGTAAGATAAAATTATTTCTATATCAATATCAATAATAAAACACAGCAAATTTCATAAAAAATTTGTGGTTAATGTCTTAATGAGATGTTATAAAGCATCCGCATGCTGCCTAACTAGATACGGGGTATAAAACAATATTTATTTATATATTTATATTTATATTTATAAATACAATTAGAGCTGTCAAAATGGATTGGTAAAGAAGAGTAGCTCACAATCGAACATAATCCACAAATAAACGTGTTATTTTTTGGCCAACCTATGGATGAATTGGCTAAAATTTAGACAATCCAACCCAATCCAACCCATAAGTTTTTAAAAATATTATTTTTTATATATTAAATATAAAAAAGTTATATTTTGGAATTTAAATAATAAATATTTAAAAATATCTAATATACATTGATTTAAAATATTAAATATCATTGGTTTGCGGTTGGTAATTTTTTTAAAAAAAATTACTAACAGAAAATATTTAAAGAATAAATATGTATTATTCTTATAGCAACATAGCCGATACACTCATAAAAGAGAGTAATATGGAGACAATATATATATTGATTAATTAATTTAATATAATATAAATTTTTTTAATAATCAATAATTTAAAATAATAAGAATTTTTTTTAATTAATTAATTATTTGATTTAACTTAATATAAATTTTTTAAAAAATAACCATAAAAATATAATATTTTATCAATCTCATGTGATATATCTAATTATATTTTATTTAAAAAAACTATGAATATTACTAATAAACAAAAGGGTAAACTGTTTTTTTAGTCCCGTAACTGGACTCCCTTATCATTTTAGTTCCGTAAGTGGAGTATGTCGCAAACTAGTCCCATAAGTGAAAATTTTTCGCTGTTTTAATCCTCCGGCGCCGGAGACGCCCACGTGGCTCGCCGGAGGTGACGTATCCGCCAGGTGTCCCGCCACGTCAGCGACACCTGGCGGACACGTGGATTTTTTTATTTTTTTTTCATTTTTTTATAATTGGACCAAATCAAAAATTAAAAAAATGCAAATAAAATTAAAAATAAGTTTTAAAAAAAATTAAAAAAATGAAAAAATAAATAAAAAGTCCACGTGTCCGCCAGGTCAGCGACACCTAGCGGACACGTCACCTCCAGCGAGCCACGCGGGTGTCTCCGGCGCCGGAGGACTAAAATAGCGAAAAGTTTTCACTTATGGGACTAGTTTGCGACAGGCTCCACTTACAGGATTAAAATTATAAGGGGGTCTAGTTACGGGACTAAAAAAACAGTTTATCCTAAACAAAAATGATGATTTTTATTGTAATAATATATAAATTGTAATTTTTTTAAAAAAAAATTATGAAATAAGCGCAATTACTAAAAGTATAATAAATAGATTAACTAAAACTCATAGTCCGCGCCTAAATTGACTCATTTAGACTCGCATTAAATAATTTTTAAAAATTAATATTCAACTGCCTTTAAAAGTGAGGCAAAACAAGCCAACCCGACTGTTTGAATATTTGCAGAAAATAGAAATGATATATTGACAAAAAAAAAAGAGTTTCAATGTGCATATATATATATATATATATAGGCATATATATGTGGGCTCCAAATAAAAATAAATAAAAAAATATGCTAACACCCCCTCAAACACAAGGTGGTAAAGTAAAATCAACTTGAATTTGCTCAACAATGTGGAGAACCGGCCTGGGAAGAGGGATTTGGTGAAGATATCCGCAGTCTGATCCTCGGAAGAGACAGAAGATAGATGAATAGTGCCTGCACGAACATGCTGACGAACAAAGTGACAATCAATCTCAATATGCTTGGTGCACTCGTTAAAGACATCATTATAAGAGATCTGAATTGCGCTCGTGTTGTCACAATGGAGGGAAGTGGAAGAAGGCTGAGGAACCCCGAGATCAGAAAGAAGCCTACGAAGCCAAAGGAGGTCTGAAGTCGAATCAGCAAGAGCGCGATACTTAGACTCTGCACTGGAGCGAGAAACGAGAGTATGTTTCTTGCTGTGCCAAGAAACAAGGGAACTCCTAAAAAAAAAACAATAACCTGTGATAGAGCGACAATCAGTCGGATCACCTGCCCAATCAGCATCAGAGAAACCAGCAAAAACTAATGGAGAGTTAGCAGAAAAATGAAGACCATGTAGGAGTGTTCCCTTGACATAAGGAATGATGCATAACACAACATCATAGTGAACTGTCCGGGGATTAGTCATGAACTGAGCAACAACATTGATAGCCATAAATCGCATGCGTTAAATATTTATATTATTTGCAATATTTGGTTAATTTTGATTAGATTCTACCTGATTTGGGTATATATTATTTATTTATAATTTGCACGAAAAAAATAATAAAATTGATATAATTAGTGGGGAAATAGAACAAAAAGGCCCAAAGTCCAATTGCTACAAAATTAGGGCAAATATAAAGGAAAGAAAGAAGGAGTAGGCGCCACTTTATGCCACTTGTCAAGGAGAACACCGTGCAGAAAAGTCCCAGAGAGAAACCGTGCAAGGGCAAGAAGGAAAAAGATTCTTCCACGAATATTTCGAGTTCTACCCCTATCAACATCATTTTCAGACGATGTTTCTATTTGCTTCTTTTTCCTTTGTTCTCCCCCCTATGATTAGCGAGTAGTTTACTTTTCTAGTCTATGAATGAAAAACAACTTGGTATGGATTTGAGAGATTAGACTTGTTTTGATTTATGATATTTCTTTGGTTCATAAGTATTTATGTGGTTTCTGATTTCTTTGAGTTATAATTTTTTATTTGGTTGGGTATTGTGGCCAGGTATTTCAATTGGATTAAGGATTAATTGCTAAACTAAGTTAGGCGTCCGTAATTACATTTTAATTTGGTTCAAGTAGCAACTAGTGGCAAACACCATTAGGAAATCACGGAATCAATTTTAAATAATTTCGCATAGTTAATTGTTAAATTCAATTACGCTCTTCTAGTTTGCAAGACGGTTAGGCTAGTAAATTCTTTGTGCGTCACTAGGGTTCTAGTCTAACTAGGGAAGCAGTTGACAGGCGTACCTAGACTGTCCAGAAATTAAGGAATAGTCGATTATTAGGCGTGTGTCGGTAACTATAACTAATTTATTTAAAAACCAATAAAATTAAATATTTATCGATGATCAAATCCACTACCCAAGTTTTCAATTTCATTCATAGATTGGACGCTTGTATTTATTGAAATATCTTTTAGTCGTAGAGTTTTAACTTTGTTATTTTATTTTTATTTTCTACTTCCAAAATACCCCCTTTTATTATATTTATAAATCAAACAATCGAAAATAAAACCTTTTTAATTCCCTAAGGAGACAACCCTACTTCATCTATACTATATTATTTCTTTTTGCAAAAGTAGGTTTATTTTATTTAAATTTTGCAGCGTGTGACACACGCCTATCTAATTTTGGCGTTGTTGCCGGGGAATTTTAATTGGTTTATTTATCTTTGGTTGTTATCTATTATCTAAAAAATATGATATTTTCTTGTTTATGTCGAGATCTGATCGCACAGGAAACTTGATTTTCGACCCCAAGATTGAGAAGACTGTGCATCGATTAAGAAAAGAAACTAAGGAGCGTCGTAAAAAATATTTAGCTTTAGAATCATCTAGCGATTTGAGTTCTGACGAGTTGGAGCTAGAAGAAAAGATGGATCATAGGACACCAAGGGAGCTGGCAGCCCCTAACTTGACCCAACAGCATCTCTGCATCACATATCCGATGGTATACGGTAACAATGCTTTTGAATTAAAATCAAGACTAATACACTTGTTGCCTTCTAATCTATGGGTTGCCAGGAGAAGAACCACATAAGCATCTTTAAGAATTTGATGTCTTCTTCACAAGTATGAAGCCGCAATAAGTAACATAAGATCAAATTAAGCTTTGTGCTTTTCCGTCCTCACTAAAAGATGCTGCAGAAGATTGGCTATTCAATCTACCTGCCGGAAACGTGACTACATGGACTGACATGAAGAAAAAGTTTCTCGAAAAGTACTTTCCCGTTTCATGAGCTGCGATCATGATGAAAGAGATATGCGGAATGACGCAACATACAAGGGAGTCTTTATTTGAATATTAGGACCACTTTAATTCTTTACTTATTCGATGTCCCCATCATCAAATCCCCTTGCAATTACTGATTCAATATTTCTATGAATGTTTGACTTCCATTGACAGGAGAATCATAGACGCATCAAGTGGAGGGGGCTTGATGAATAAAACTCCTAGAGACGCGTGGGACTTACTGAACAATATGGCAATGAACTCACAACAGTTCGGACCAAGAGAAGCAGTAGCAGTTAAAGAAGCAAGCGAGGTGAGTTCTATTCAACAACAATTGACTGAACTGACTTCATTTGTTCGACAATTTGTTGTAGGGAAGGCACAAGTTAAGGCTTGTGGGATCTATGCAAGTTCAGAACATCCTACTGATATTTGTCCTACTTTGAGTTAAGAAGTAGATGTCAGTCCTGCAGGATTCGTCCCAAGAGCATACAACCATTACTCGAATAGCTATAATCCAGGATGGAAAGATCAGCTGAACTTAAAGTATGGGAATCAACAAGCTAACTTTGGAGATTATTCTAGAGAATTCCCAACACCTAACCACCCTCCACAACCCCCTCAAACGGTTCCGAGTAATTCTTTAAAGGATATGATGAAAACTATGGCGTCTAACATGTTGCAATTTCAACAGGAAACTCGGAATAGCATAAGGAACTTGGAAGAACAAGTAAGTCAAATACCGAATGAGATGTGCGAGATTAAGTCAAGAGAAAAAGGCAGATTGCCTTCACAACCTGACGCCAATCCGAGGAATGTGAGCTCAATTGTTATACAAAATGGAAAAGATGCGGAAGTATTAAAGATTGGAGTTCCAAAAGACAAGAATGAGGAAGATATTGAGAAAGAAATAGAGCAAGTCGCCACTGAAACATCGAACAAGGTAACTTTCGATACACCTACTAATACTAAAACTAATGTTGCACTGTTTCCTTACAGGTTGGCGAAACCAAAGAAGAATGACAAAAATAAAGAGATGATGGAAATTTTTCGAAAGTTGGAATTGAACATACCCTTACTAGATGCGATCAAGCAAGTACCGAAGTATGCAAAATTTCTTAAGGATCTTTGTGCGAACAAGAAGCGACTACGTAGAGACGAATACATTATTGCTGGCGAGAGCGTATCTGTCGTTTTACAACATAAGCTTCCTCCTAAATATGGAGATCCAGGTATGTTCTCAGTTCCTTGTAAAATAGGTAAGTTGGAGATTAAACGAGCAATGCTAGATTTAGGAGCTGCTATTAATGTGATGCCTAAGTCTATTTATAAGTTTTTGAACATTGGGCCTTTAAAAAAAACTGAAATTATTATACAATTAGCCGATAGGACAAATGCTTATCCTGAATGAATGATTGAAGATGTCCTAGTGCAAGTTAACGAATTAATTTTCCGGTTGATTTTTATGTGCTTGATATGCATGAAGATAATTCTCCAAATCCTGCACCGATTTTACTAGGTAGACCATTTATGTGCACCGCACAAACTAAAATTAATGTGAAACAAGGTATACTTTCTATGGAATTTGATGGTGAGAAAGTGCAATTTAATATTTCTGATACTATAAAATACCTTGAAAAATCTAATGCGTTGTGCAGTGTGAATGTTATTGACAAAAGTATGTAGGGAGTCTTGAGATTGCATGAGAAATCTATCATGGACAAAAAATCGAAGCCGCATCCAAATCAGTTGGAGCCTATTCACTTAAATGATAATGTGAATCTTGCAAATAAATTTTTTTTGAGTAATCATCATTTTAAACATGGAAGTAAAAGACAAAAACTGAAGTGGGTAAGACAGTCTGAAGTAGTACTACCTAATGGCTAACATGGTAATTGCGTCTAGCCAAAGACGTTAAAGAGAGGCGCTTCTTGGGAGGCAACCCAAGTTTTCTAGTTTTATTTCTTTTATTTTCTTTAGTTTTTGTTTTATTTTTATTTTTTATTTTTAAACATTGCTTATTTGATATGGATTCTTTATTTTTTGTAGGGAACTTTTTGGAGAATTTTGAAAAAAAAAAAAGAAAAGCCCCATCTTTTTTCTTCTTCCCCCCTGAGCTATGAATTTTGGTGTTGGCTAAAAGAGACGCACAATCAAATTGAAGAAGTTTGGAATCCAAAGCAAAAACATGCAGTCGCACCAATCCTACGGATTTCAGGGAAGTTCATCTCTTATTTTACTTTCTTTTACATTGAGGACAATGTTTGCTTTAGGTGTGGGGAGAAAGGAGAATGCAAATTTTTTGGGAAAATTTTTCATTTTGTGCTACTTTTGATGTCTGAACCCGACCTTTATCGGGATAAGCCCAATTTCGCCTCCTCCCTAGGGAAGTTTGCTGTCCATTCTCATGGTTTTGAGATTTGTCTGAAGTGAGTCAAAGGTGGTTTGAGTAATAGGTTAGTCTAATATGATTGATGACATTGGATTTGAAATATGTTGAGCCAGGTTGACATTTGAACCTTGTGAGAATTCGAGTATATATACCAAAAAGCTTACATTAGAAAATAAACTACATTTTATCAAGCTTTTGGAAATTCTTTCTTTTATCAAGCTTTTGGAAATTCTTTCTTGTGTGATTTGTAGTGCTCAATTAAATGACCTAGAACTTGAGTGATTATGCATATTGAACTTGCAACTATCGAGTCTTCCATTTTGAAAATGATTAGGGCATTAGGTAGCCTACTGAACCTTTCTTTAGCACCTAGCACAATATTTTTCCCCTAATTAGTCCCTTTGAGACTTTTTAGCCTAATTTTCTTCTATATTAAACCTTCTTGTAGCCGCACACCCTTCTTTTGATATTAAGCTTTCTCCGATTTGAACCCTATGTTGGAAAGAATTAACTTAAGTTCATGTTGTGATGCACCTTATTTGTTCGACACCGTTACAAACGAATTTTGAGTATAAATAAATAATGTATTCAGAAGTGTTTGCTTTAATGAGAACGGGTAGTGAAAGGCGTATATATATATATATTTTTAAAAAAAAGGCCAAAAAAAAAAAAACAAAAAAGGCCCCAAAAAAATAAAAATAAAATAAATCTTTATGAAGTATTATTGATATAATTATGGTATTAAAGTTTGGGTGGTGAATAAAGTAAGGGTTCTATTGTTTATGCTGAACTGTTTTTCACGTGCTAGCATCGTGTTCTTATTGTGTTCTTTTCTAACATATTTTAGCTTTCGCATGTCCTTTTTTCTACCCCTAACCATCAGCCCCGTTACAACCTTTATAAAAAGTCCCTTTGATTCTTGAATTTAGATTCAAGTATCTTAAGCAAGGGAGATTTGATTATCATTCAAGCCTACGGGATAATCTATTCTCACACTATTTGAGCATTAGCTGATTATACACACTTATTTATTTCAGAGAGCATGTGTGTATACACTTTATCTTGAGAGGTTGACTTGACTTGATATATTGAATTTCCGATTGATTTGGTTGAGTTAGATTTTCTTGTCATATTGAGTCGCTTGCGATTTCTTTTGGCTTGTTTCAAATTTATGCTTAAGGGCAAACATGATCTAGGTTTGGGGAGATTTGATAGCCATAAATCGCATGCGTTAAATATTTATATTATTTGAAATATTTGGTTGATTTTGATTAGATTTTACCTGATTTGGGTATATATTATTTATTTATAATTTGCAAGAGAAAAATAATAAAATTAATATAATTAGTGGGAAAAGAGAACAAAAGGCCCAAAGCCCAATTGCTACAAAATTTAGGCAAATATAAAGGAAAGAAAGAAGGAAGAGACGCCACTTTATGCCACTAACCGAGGAGAACACCGTGCAGAATAGTCCCACAGAGAAACCATGCAAGGGCTAGAAGGAAAAAAGAATTTCCAAGAAGATTTCGAGTTCTACCCCTACCAACATCATTCTCAGACGATATTCTTCTTTGCTTCCTTTTCCTGTGTTTTTCCTCCTATGATTAGCGAGTAGTTTACTTTTCTAGTCTAGGAGTGAAAAACAACTTAGTATGGATTTGGGAGATTAGATTTGTTTTGATTTATGATATTTCTTTGGTTCCTAAGTATTTATGTGGTTTCTGATTTCTTTGAGTTATAATATTTTATTTGGTTGGGTATTGTGGCCAGGTATTTCAATTGGATTAAGAATTAATTTCTAAACTAAATTAGGCGTCTGTAATTGCGTTTTAATTTTGTTCAAGTAGCAACTAGTGGCAGACACCATTAGAAAATCACGAAATCAATTTTAAACAATTTCACATAGTTAATTGTTAAATTGAATTAGGCTCTTCTAGTTCACAAGGCGGTTAGGCTAGTAAATTCTTTGTGGCGTCACTAGGGTTCTAACCTAACTAGGAAAGCAGTTGACGGGCGTACCTAGACTATCAAGAAATTAAGGAAGAGTTGGTTATTAGGCGCGTGTTGGTAACTATAACTAATTTATTTTAAAACTAATAAAATTAAATATTTATCGATGATCAAATCCGCTACCCAAGTTGTAAATTTCATTCATAGACTGGAAGCTTATTTTTATTGAATTTATCTTTTAGTCGTAGAGTTTTTAGTTTGTTACTTTATTTTTATTTCATACTTCCAAACTCCCCCATTTTATTATATTTATAAATCAAATAATCGAAAATGAAACCTTTTTAATTCCCTGAGGAGACGACCCTACTTCATCTATACTACGTTATTTTTATTACAGAAGTAATTTTATTTTATTTAAATTTTACAGCGTGTGACACACTGCCTGCCAAACATGAACCGCATGAGATGTGTCAGGACGAGTGACCATCAAGTATATGAAGGATCCCACAAACTGCCGATAGCGGGAGGGATGAAGGTAGGTCTGGCTATCAGTCAGACTTGAACGAGATATGAGATCAGATGCATATTTCGTCTGAGATAGATATATGCCATATGGAGCTTCAGAAATCTCAAGTCCGAGAAAATAGGGAAGCTGACCAAGACTCTTCATGTTAAAGTGTTGATGAAGGTAGGTCTGTAGATCGGATATACCAGAAGTATCTTCGCTGGTAATAACCATATCATCCACATACAATAAGAGAATGATGATCCCGGCAGAAGAACAACGAATAAATAGAGCAGAGTCATAGGGAGATGCAGAAAAGCCATACTCAAGGAGCGTAGAACTAAACTTGGCAACCAAGCTCGGAGCGCTTGCTTTAGTCCATAAAGGGCACGGCGTAGCTGACATACCTTCAATGAAAAATCTGAGCCAGGTGGAGGGGTCATGTAGACTTCCTCAGACAAATCTCCATGAAGAAACGCATTCTTCACATCCAACTATAATAATTTCCAATTTCGAACAACGGCAACAGAAAGGAGACAACAGACAGATGTCAAACGAGCAATTGGAGCAAATGTCTTCTCATAATCAATACCATACTCATGCGAAAAACCCTTGGCTACAAGGCTCGCCTTGTAGCGCTCAAAAAAACCATCGGAGTGAGTTTTGATTTTGTACACCCATTTGCAGCTAATAGGTTTCTTGCCAGGAGGGCGATCGACGATATCCCACATGCCTGTCTTCTCAAGAGCATGCAATTCCTCAGACATAGCGTTGCACAACAAGGGATCACAGTTCACCTCACATGTGGATGACTTACATAGGTGGGTTCATGGTGAGATAAAATGACAGAAAAACAATGATAATCAAGTCGATGAAAGGGAGGACGACTTACACAGTGGGTCGCCAATCAGTTGTGGTAGGAACTGAAAATTTTGGAGGATCGGACATAGGCTCATGAGGCGCATGAGGGTTAGCTGGTGGGTAATGATCACATCAGACATACCAGTAAAAGCGGACGGGGTTTCAAGACCTGCAATAGGAGGAGAGGAATCCAGAACAGGAATGGACGGGGGTTCGGGACCTGCAGGAGGAGGAGAGGAATCTAGAACAAAGAACGGGGACTCTGACTCAAAGGGAATGGAAAATTTAGACTCAGAGGAAAAGAACTTACGCTCCACAAAAGTAACATCCCGAGAGATACGTAGACGATTTGACACAGGATCCCAACATTGATAACCTTTATGTTCTATCACATACCCAAGAAAACAACATAGACGGGTGCGTGGTTCTAATTTGTTATGTTCATGAGGAGGGAGATGAACAAAGCTGACACAACCAAAAGGATAAAGATGAGAGTAATCAAGTACCTGGCGGAAGAGCCTCTCAAAAGGTGTGGTATTCTAAAAGACAGAGGAGGGTAAGCGGTTAATAATAAACAGCAGTAAGAGTAGCATCTCCCCAAAACCGATCTGGACAATTAGCAAATAACAACATGTGTAACACCCCCAGTTGGCTCATACTGGAAATGCTACCGCCACACTGCATCATGAGGTCGTCACCTCCTACTTCGGGCCCCACAACACAGTGTTAAGGCTAAAATTAATTATATAAGCATTTTATTATTCCCAAAAAAACAAGTTTATAAATATTTACAAAAACATACTCCCAAAACGGGAGGTTTTTCTAGTTAGAATTTACATATAATACATCAGATGCAGTTCACTCATTCAGCCCGTCTTTCTATCTCCCGAGACGTCCCCTGTCCCGGAGGTGCCATGCGTACCTGAATCAAATATTTTTCTTAAAAGCAGTCTAGAATTAAATCCATTTTAAGAACTAACATAAAATATGCCATGTCATGCTCGAAAATAGAGTTTAATTTCCGTCATTTGCAAAATAAATGCCATGCCATGCCCATACTGAAATAATGTAACAATAATGTCAAAATCGACAACTCATGCACATATACCCATATACATATGTCAAAGTGAGCAGCCGGAATAACCTCGGCTCCATAATAACAGCTCACTAGACTATCATCAATAAATAGCCGGAAAATCCTCGGCTCAAGGAAGGACCTGGTAAACCCATAATAATATAACGGTCACCCGGTCACTTCCATATACCCACCATACGACTCCCGCAATCAATACATGGATAGCCGAGCGTTGTCGCCATTAACCACAAGACACCCCATAGTCTGTGATAGCGAAGATAGGACCCTCCTGTCTAGCCCTACCCCGTGTAACGTAGTAGAATCCGTGCAACCTGGAATCACCCGAAGGAAACCCGGAAACTCTACTCCTCCTCGCACGCCCTAACGGGATCGCGTTTGGAGTTTGGCATATGATCCTAAACTACCGGTAGACCTCACTAGTAGCTACTCCAATGAGTGGAACAACACCGAACACGAATGATTAGACCAAATACGTCTCAACTGCAATGGGTCTAATCCCTGAATGACCGTGCGACTAAGTCACCCAGTTGTCCGACTACTATCGTCCACTATCGCCAAAGTGTTACGATACATCGGGGTCGAATATCCTAACCCCAGATGATGCCCTCGCCTAGCACTACCGCACACGGCGACTAAACGATAGATCCATAAAACATATCCGATAAATCGTGCAATGTGTGCAGCATGTCAATAAGTGAATTTAATGAAAAGGCCTGGTGAGACGGCCCACCTATCCTCCTTTTTATAAATTCACCAACACGATCAAATACGTATATCAAATATCGTAAAACGAAGTTTCACACATGCATATACACACACATATATACATATATAGATGCACTGACCAAATGATTCCACATAATATCATATCAATATCAGAATCAGAATCGCATGCAACATAAATACCTAATTTCTTAAAATTAGATTTAATTCCCTATTGCTTACCTCCTACCGATACTTTCTGGATTTTTATAACTTCACCCAAATCTCCTCCAACGTACACCTGTCCCATTATTTACTCAAATCAGATGAGCTTTATGCTTATTCTCAGGAGCTACCTGCTTATTCAAAAGCTAATTTCTATAATTAACTCGTCGGGCTCCAAACTTTTATATTTAGTAGAATATGATATTCTAGCTATAAAATCCTTCTACCTCATAATATTTATATTGCCCGATTATTAAATAAAAATACGCAAAGGTATGAACAAGCAGGCAGGTGCAATATACTGCCGTTTTCAATTCGGCTCGGATCGATACGAAATTCTCAGAATATAATACTAGGACTACGAATAGGCTATTAGCTAAAGAAATTCGTCGATTAAATAGCCAAATAGCTAGTTATAAATTTTTGAAGAATTTCTAATTTAATATCTTCAATATCTAAATTTATATTAAAATCCATAATTAAATTCTACGTATAACAAGGAATACAATACCGAAGTCGGAATCGAAATCGAATGGCTAAATCTTTTTCTTTCTTCTTTTCTTTTTCTCCTTTCTTCTCTTTCACGTTTCTTCCTCTGCCTTCCTTCGCTTCGCAGGTAAGTTTGCTTGTTTTATATATATAATTATATTATTATTATATATATATATATTATATACATTATATTATATTATATTATATTATATTATTATTATTAGCGTTATTATTATTATTATTATTATAATATTATCTTCATCATCATTACTTTTATTATTATATTATTATTATATATTTTATATTTATATTTATCGATATTTATCCATTTAACAGTCTATTTAATTATAACTAATATACAAAATTGGAATATAATTTATCCCAAAATATTAATTTCTTGATTCCATTACTATTGTCAAATATTTATTTGCTATAATAATATTATTTTATACATTCCGAAATCGGGGCATTACAATCCACTCCCCCTTAAAAAGATTTCGTCCCCGAAATCTAAACTCAAACACATAACAAGGCAACTTAATTAAACAATTGTGGGTATGCCTTGAACATTTCTTGTTCTACTTCCCACGTGGCCTCTTCCGCTCCATGTCTGGACCACATTACTTTCACCATACGAATATCTCGATTCCTCATGGTTCGGACCTTTGTGTCCATGATCCACAGAGGCTTTTCTTCATACGAAAGATCTTCATTCAGCTCTATCTCATCTGGAGATAAAATATGAGAAGGATCTGCAACATACCTACGAAGCTGAGATATATGAAACACATTATGGATACGCTCCATAGAATTTGGAAGTGCCAACTGATAAGCCCAATCACCAACTCGATCGACAATTTCATAAGGTCCAACATAACGCGGACTCAATTTTCCTTTAATCCCAAACCTTCTAATACCTTTCATTGGGGATACTTTCAATAAGACAAAATCTCCACTTTGAAATTGACCCTCACGTCGGGCTCTATCGGCATAACTCTTTTGACGATCTTGAGCTGCCTTCATCTTTTCTCTGATAATTCGAATCTTATTTTTCGATTCCTCAATCATTTCCGGACCCAGTATCAGTCGATCACTCATATCGTCCCAACTCAAAGGAGTTCTGCATTTTCGACCATAAAGAGCTTCAAAAGGAGCCATTCCGATACTTGCTTGATGGCTATTATTATATGAAAATTCCACTAAATCCAAGTGGTCTTCCCAACTCCCTTGAAATTCCATAGCACAAGCTCTTAGCATATCTTCCAGAATACGGATAGTTCTTTCTGACTGACCATCAGTCATAGGATGGAATGCAGTACTCATATGCAACTGAGTACCAAAGGCTTCCTACAATTTTTGCCAAAATCGAGATTGAAAACGTGGATCACGATCTGATATGATCACCTCAGGAATACTGTGTCGTTTAACCATATAATGAACATATAATTTGGCCAATTTCTGCATACTCCAAGTAATACGTACTGGAATGAACACTGCTGACTTGGTCAATCTGTCTATAATCACCCAAATTGCATCTGTTCCCGACTTTGACCTTGGAAGTCCTGTTACAAAATCCATTGCGATAGAATCCCATTTCCAGAGTGGAACTTCTAAAGGTTGTAGCAACCCCATTGGTCTATGATGTTCTGCTTTTACCTTTTGACAATTTAAACATCGTGCAACAAATTTGGCTACATCCTTCTTCATGCCCTTCCACCAAAAATGTTGACGTAGGTCATGATACATTTTATTTCCCCCCGGATGCACTGAGTATGGTGTATTATGAGCCTCACTCATAATCTGCTCTTTCAAATCATTTCGATCCTTTGGGATACACCACCTCCCGTGAAATCGAAGACTCCCATCTGGAGCAATATTAAAATTTTGAGTCTGACCGTACTGAACTTTCACTGCAAGCTCAACCATTTTATTATCTTCCATTTGAGCCGCTCTAATGCGATCATAAATTTCAGGCTCAACTTGTATCATTTGCAAATATCCCCGAGTCATACCCCGTCCAAGTACCTCAATTTCCATCCGCGCTAAATCTTGGCACAGTTCATCAGCAACCGACATGAAGCCCAAGTTATGCCTTGGTTTTCGACTTAAGGCATCGGCTACAACATTTGCTTTGCCTTCATGATACACAATTTCAAGATCATAATCCTTCACCAATTCTAACCATCTTCTTTGTCTTAAATTCAATTCTTTTTGGGTGAAGATATATTTCAAACTTTGATGGTCAGTAAATATTCTGCAATGGGCTCCATAAAGATAGTGTCTCCAAATCTTCAAAGCAAACACAACTGCTGCCATTTCCAAGTCGTGTGTCGGATAATTCTCTTCGTGAGGTTTTAGTTGTCGTGATGCATAAGCAATAACTCTTTGATTCTGCATTAAGACACATCCCAATCCCTGCTTCGAAGCATCACTATACACTTCAAACTCCTCACCTTCCACTGGTAAAGCCAAAATTGGCGCTGAAGTTAATCGATGTTTCAATTCTAAAAAGGATGACTCACACTCGTGATCCCAGTTAATCTTTGCATCCTTTTTCAGCAAATTAGTTAATGGTTTTGCAACCTTCGAAAAATCAAGAACGAATCGCCGATAATATCCTGCCAAACCCAAAAAGCTTCTTACTTCTGATTGATTGGTAGGTCTTGGCCAATCCATGATTGCCGCCACTTTAAAAGGATCTACTGAGATACCCTTTCCAGAAACAACATGCCCCAAGAAAGCAACCTCCTTCAACCAAAACTCGCATTTGGATAACTTGGCATATAACTTTCTTGCACGCAATATGTTTAATATTACATGCAAATGTTTTGCATGCGTCTTTTTATCTGGGGAATAGACCAAGATATCGTCAATAAATACCACCACACACTGATCGAGGTATGGTTGAAAAATTCTATTCATCAACTCCATAAACGCAGCCGGGGCGTTAGTCAACCCAAAGGACATAACCGTGAATTCATAATGCCCGTATCTAGTCCGAAAAGCTGTCTTCGGAATGTCATGCTCTGCAATCCTTAGCTGATGATATCCAGATCTCAAGTCAATCTTTGAGAATATAGTTGCACCTCTCAGTTGATCAAATAGATCATCAATCCTCGGAAGAGGATATTTGTTCTTCACCGTGACTTTGTTCAGTCCACGGTAGTCAATACATAACCTCAAACTTCCATCCTTCTTTTTCACAAATAAAACTGGAGCTCCCCAAGGCGATGTACTAGGCCGAATGTAACCCTTATCTAGCAATTCCTGTAGTTGCAATTTAAGTTCAGCTAGTTCTAAAGGTGCCATCCGGTATGGAGCCCTTGATACTGGCTCAGCACCCGGCACAATATCAATAGCAAAATCCACCTCACGAGCTGGTGGCATACCCGGAATGTCATCAGGAAATACATCAGGAAAATTTCGGACTACAGGAATATCTTGCAATCGCTGCTCCCCTTGCGTCAAATCTCTTACCTCACACAGATATACTGGAAACCCCTTACGAATAAATGATTGAAATGATAGGGATGAAATTACCTTCATAGAAGGTTGTCTGGCAGATCCTGCATAATTCACCTGTTCGCCCATCGCTCCAACCAGCGAAATTGATCTTTTTCGACAATCAAATTGAGCTTGATATGCCACTAACCAATCCATCCCCAATATTACATCGAACTCGGATAGCTTGATGCCCAACAAGTTAGTAACAAAATCAACCCCTTCAATACTAACCGGAATCTGCATATAAAGCTCTCGGCATTCCAGCACTTCTCCTGATGGAAGTAAAACTTCCACTACCACTTCTACTGATGAATTCAGACCCAATCGTCTAACTAGACGCTTAGATATGAACGAGAACGTTGCACCCGAATCGAATAACACAAGAGCAGGAAAACCGCAAACCAGAAATCTACCCGTTAAAACCTCACCTGGATGATAATCAGCTTCTGCTTGGGTAAGAACATTTATTCGTCCACGCTGGTCAGGTCCTCTGCCTGGCTGCCTAGATGACGAACGTGACTGACTTCGTCCCCCTCGCCAAGATGATCCTAATCCTCTCCCTTGTGACTGCGAAGACGGCGGCTGCCATGGCCTAAACCTCGGTTCTGGAAACTCCCTTGCAGTTACCACACTTGGGCATAACCTGGCAATGTGACCACTACCACCACATTTAAAACATGTCAATGGAACTTTATCACAACGAGTACCTGGGTGGCTTGTTCCACAACGCCGACAAACAGCCCCCGATTGCTGAGACCTCTCCTGACTCGGTTCATTAATCGAAATCCCCTTATACGATGGCCCAGACCTAAACATTTGCCACCATTTCTTTTTACCCTTGGGTTCATCCTCCACTTTAGCTTTTCCCTTATCTCGAACCTGATGTTGATAACCTATTTCCTTCTCACTCTCCTTTTGTCTGACTTCCTGCTTCTGATAAAATCGGGCAGCACGCTCGTAAGCCTCATACAATGAACTGATATCCAACACCGCTAAAGCTTCTTGAATTCTGTGTTGCAACCCGTCTACAAAATGGTTAATTCTGTCTCGCTCACAGGAAAAGTAGTCAGGAACATACATCTCCAACTCATTAAACTTCACAAAATAATCCTCAACTGACATCGAGCCCTGCTTTAAGTCCAGCAATTCTTGCTTCTTCGCTTTTCGAATATGCGACGGTATAAACGTAGCCTTTAACTTTGCTTTAAATTCATCCCAAGTCATATCCACTTGGTCTACACCTGCAGCTTCTTCACCTAACCACCACCGATTTGCTCGGCCTTCCAAGAAATAGGCTCCAATATTAACTCGTTGATCTGGCGGAACCTGAACAACACGAAATATCTTTTCCATCTTTTCAACCCAAAACTCAAGGACTCCTGGCTCCACTGAACCAGAATATGTTGGTGGGTTATGCCGCATCACAGCATCAATGAAACTCCTCTGTTGAGGCATCATCGCGGCCATAAACTGCCGAAAGAAATCCTGACTAGGTGCCTCTGTTGGTACATGCGCTGGCACAGGATACTGTGACTCATCAGACGAAGGATCAAACTCTGGGCCTTGAATAGCCCTACGTACACCACCACCTCGAGAATTCGACATACTGCCCCCAATTTTTCCTGATTCAATATCAATTCAGCACACAGCTAAACCAAGCATAACAATAAAAGATAGATCACATTAACATGAATGCACCCGCAAAACCCAAACCTCACCAAACCAATTCAATATCATTATTATTTTCAAAACCTTTTTAATTCAAAGAGCCAAAATCTATCAAACCTAGGCTCTGATACCAACTTGTAACACCCCCAGTTGGCTCATACTGGAAATGCTACCGCCACACTGCATCATGAGGTCGTCACCTCCTACTTCGGGCCCCACAACACAGTGTTAAGGCTAAAATTAATTATATAAGCATTTTATTATTCCCAAAAAAACAAGTTTATAAATATTTACAAAAACATACTCCCAAAACGGGAGGTTTTTCTAGTTAGAATTTACATATAATACATCAGATGCAGTTCACTCATTCAGCCCGTCTTTCTATCTCCCGAGACGTCCCCTGTCCCGGAGGTGCCATGCGTACCTGAATCAAATATTTTTCTTAAAAGCAGTCTAGAATTAAATCCATTTTAAGAACTAACATAAAATATGCCATGTCATGCTCGAAAATAGAGTTTAATTTCCGTCATTTGCAAAATAAATGCCATGCCATGCCCATACTGAAATAATGTAACAATAATGTCAAAATCGACAACTCATGCACATATACCCATATACATATGTCAAAGTGAGCAGCCGGAATAACCTCGGCTCCATAATAACAGCTCACTAGACTATCATCAATAAATAGCCGGAAAATCCTCGGCTCAAGGAAGGACCTGGTAAACCCATAATAATATAACGGTCACCCGGTCACTTCCATATACCCACCATACGACTCCCGCAATCAATACATGGATAGCCGAGCGTTGTCGCCATTAACCACAAGACACCCCATAGTCTGTGATAGCGAAGATAGGACCCTCCTGTCTAGCCCTACCCCGTGTAACGTAGTAGAATCCGTGCAACCTGGAATCACCCGAAGGAAACCCGGAAACTCTACTCCTCCTCGCACGCCCTAACGGGATCGCGTTTGGAGTTTGGCATATGATCCTAAACTACCGGTAGACCTCACTAGTAGCTACTCCAATGAGTGGAACAACACCGAACACGAATGATTAGACCAAATACGTCTCAACTGCAATGGGTCTAATCCCTGAATGACCGTGCGACTAAGTCACCCAGTTGTCCGACTACTATCGTCCACTATCGCCAAAGTGTTACGATACATCGGGGTCGAATATCCTAACCCCAGATGATGCCCTCGCCTAGCACTACCGCACACGGCGACTAAACGATAGATCCATAAAACATATCCGATAAATCGTGCAATGTGTGCAGCATGTCAATAAGTGAATTTAATGAAAAGGCCTGGTGAGACGGCCCACCTATCCTCCTTTTTATAAATTCACCAACACGATCAAATACGTATATCAAATATCGTAAAACGAAGTTTCACACATGCATATACACACACATATATACATATATAGATGCACTGACCAAATGATTCCACATAATATCATATCAATATCAGAATCAGAATCGCATGCAACATAAATACCTAATTTCTTAAAATTAGATTTAATTCCCTATTGCTTACCTCCTACCGATACTTTCTGGATTTTTATAACTTCACCCAAATCTCCTCCAACGTACACCTGTCCCATTATTTACTCAAATCAGATGAGCTTTATGCTTATTCTCAGGAGCTACCTGCTTATTCAAAAGCTAATTTCTATAATTAACTCGTCGGGCTCCAAACTTTTATATTTAGTAGAATATGATATTCTAGCTATAAAATCCTTCTACCTCATAATATTTATATTGCCCGATTATTAAATAAAAATACGCAAAGGTATGAACAAGCAGGCAGGTGCAATATACTGCCGTTTTCAATTCGGCTCGGATCGATACGAAATTCTCAGAATATAATACTAGGACTACGAATAGGCTATTAGCTAAAGAAATTCGTCGATTAAATAGCCAAATAGCTAGTTATAAATTTTTGAAGAATTTCTAATTTAATATCTTCAATATCTAAATTTATATTAAAATCCATAATTAAATTCTACGTATAACAAGGAATACAATACCGAAGTCGGAATCGAAATCGAATGGCTAAATCTTTTTCTTTCTTCTTTTCTTTTTCTCCTTTCTTCTCCTTCACGTTTCTTCCTCTGCCTTCCTTCGCTTCGCAGGTAAGTTTGCTTGTTTTATATATATAATTATATTATTATTATTATATATATATATTATATACATTATATTATATTATATTATATTATATTATTATTATTAGCGTTATTATTATTATTATTATTATAAATATTATCTTCATCATCATTACTTTTATTATTATATTATTATTATATATTTTATATTTATATTTATCGATATTTATCCATTTAACAGTCTATTTAATTATAACTAATATACAAAATTGGAATATAATTTATCCCAAAATATTAATTTCTTGATTCCATTACTATTGTCAAATATTTATTTGCTATAATAATATTATTTTATACATTCCGAAATCGGGGCATTACAATACATGGCTCAAACTGTTTTTAAAATATAACGATTCTTGCGCTCTGCCCTACTATTTTGTTGAGATGTGTAGGGATAGGAACGCTGGACAAGAGTACGTTGGGTGGACAGAAAATTAAGAAAGGCAGAATCATTATATTCAAGGGCGTTAGTGCGAAGAGTCTGAATAGGATACGAGAATTGAGTTTGCACCATTTTAGCGAATGTAGAGTAAATGGAAACAAGTTCTGACCGCTTACGCCTAAAGTAAATCCAAGTAAAGTGAGAGTAATCATCAATAAAAAGCACAAAGTAACGAAATCAAGTAAGAGTAGCGACAGGAGAGGGGCCCCAAATGTTAGAATGTACTAACAAAAAAGGTTTATCAACAATAGACAAGTTATTCAAAAAAGGTAAAGCTGGTTGTTTTCCAAGTTTACAATGCAAGCAATCAAAAGACTCAAAATGAACTGTGCCTAAAACACCTGTATTTGCAAGAGACTTGACTTTAGATAGGGAGGCATGACCAAGTCTGAGTGCCAGTGATAGGAAGAAGAAGGAAAGACTGCAGCGGAAAGAGATGGTGTCTGGCGAGGGCAAAGGTGGTCAAACTCAAATAGGCGGCCTGTCTTGTGACCCGTCCCAAGTATCTTACCCGTCTCCGTGTCCGGAACCTGCACACCAGAAAAAAAAAAAATTACAGTAAAATCTTGCTTAACCAACTGACCGACAGACGCAAAGTTTAAGGCTAATTTGGGAATGACATAAACATCATCAAGGTGTGGGGACGTTAAATGGCCAGTATGGGTAATGCGCATGGAGGTGCCATCAGCGGTAAGAATAAGAGGGGATGAGATGACGGGTTGGGAGGAATGTAAAAGGCGAGGGTCAGGTGTCATGTGGTTACAACAAAAAAAATCAATATACCATGTGTTGTTACTTGATGTCGAGGCTAATGAAGGATGAATTGATAAAACCTGAGTGAGCATGTGACGTAGGTCCTCAAGAGTGGGAGGCAGTTGAGGTGACTGTGATACGCTAGTGGCAGCAACAATGGCAGAGGAAGAGCTGGAAGAGGACTGACCAGCCTTGGGATTCTTGGGATAATGCGAACGGATGTGGCCTTTTTGATGACATTAGTGATACTCAACCTTAGGGCAATAGATATAAAGATGATTAACATTCGGGTAACTGCGACATTTATGATACTAAGGTAGTCGGGCATCCTTGCGATTATCTTTGCCAAAAGGAGTAGAAGGGGAACTGCCAATGTCGAATCAAGGGTAGGAGCCTCGAGCATCTTGAGGCGGGTGTCCTCAAACAAAATCTCATTCATCGCTGTCTCCAAGGAAGACAAGGGATGACGATGAAGCAAGGAAGCACGCACAGACTCATATTCTGGACCAAGCTTCATCAAGAGTTGAATGAACCGAAAGTGCTCAATCTGTATGTCTACCTTATTAATGCGATCCCACATAAACTGTATAGTAATGAGGAACTCATTCATATCTTGACGTGAGTCATGTGTCAGTGCATTCAATGACCTTATAAGCTGATAATAATGCATGCCTCCAGTGGCCTAATATCGATGCTGCAAATAATCCTAAGCTTTCTTGACAGTGTTCATGCGGCGAGGTTGAATCTGAATGGACTTGGAAGAGGTATTCTGAATCCAAGTAAGAATAATGTGGTTCTTACTATCCCATTCATCCAAGGCATTCCGATAGTCCGTGAGATCCTTATTATTGAGGGGCGCCGTAGAAGTGACAACAGGAGCAACCGGTGCAAAAAGTCGCCAGTAACATAGCGCCATAATCTTTTACCAATCAAGAAACTCTTCATGGATTCAGCACACAAATCATAATTATCACCAGAAAGAATAACAGTAATCTCGGAAGTGTCTACACGTTCTATATTAAGAGCCATACTATGAAGTGAGAAAATCAAGAATAGTATAGCGCGCAAAAGAATCGTGCAGAAAATCAGACTGGGCAAACCAACCCAGTAACAGTCGCAAAATAAATTCAAGTCAAATGGTAAAACCGACCATACCAGGATATCGGGGATCGAAACAAGAGATGGCGGCCGGAAACAGCCGGACACGGCGGGAAGGCGGCGGTCGCCAGAAGGATTAGTAGCAATGTTTATCCCAGAAAGAAAAATAGGCTCTGATATCATGTTTGAATATTTACGAAAAATAAAAATTGTATATTGACCCAAAAAGAGAATTTTAATGTGCATACCTATATATATGTGAGCCGTGAGCCGCAAATGACAATATATAAAAAATATGCTAATACCGACAAACTCAGCCCATTTTTACACGTCTATATACAACCTTGTTTATACACATAAATGAATTCAGTGTTTGGCAGTGGATTAAGGAAACGTCAACGTGCAATGCATAAACATAGCAAAATACTCTTAAATTAATGTCCTGCCAAACAACATTTTGTCACAGTACGTACAAATCACCGCTACTTGTCAAATGTTAAGAGCACCATATTATGCATGCACCTCTTTGCGTACGTACACTTGTTTATATTTATATACATATAAATTTATTTATTTATTTATTTTGGTTCCAAAAGTGGATTGAGTTAATAATAAAAATGTGTTCATTGTTTTTCTTTAAATTTATTGTTGTTTTTCTGATTCCAATAAATTTTGGTTGTTGCACGGACGAGTTTGTGTTGGTAAAGGAAAGCTTGATTAATGCAGCAGCTTGGGCAAATGAGCTGAGCCGTGATTGGACATTAGCGGCGGCTGCAGACTGTGGAAAGCTGTACAGCGAAGCCGAGCGGAGGGTGGCTCAGCTTGTCGATGGAGTCGACTGGTGCCGTGACGACGCGGTGGCGTGGCTCGGCGGCGTCTTGGCTAGCCACGCTAGCTGCTTGGATGGGCTTGAGGAATCTGGGCGGTCGGATGAAGTGCATCATCCGACGGCTGAGAATTTGACACGGGTGAGTAAGGAAGCGCTGGCGGTTGCTTGGAGAAGATGGAAGGGGATTTGTGGAAATAAAAAAGATTTGGGGAGAAGTGTAAGTTCGGAGGGATCGGAAGGGATTCTGGCGGCGTGGAATCCGGCGACCTCGAAGGCGGACGCCGTCGTGGCTCAGGACGGATCGGCGCAGTATAAGATGATTGGCGATGCAGTCGCGGCGGTCGGAGGGAAATGGGCGGACCGGAGAGTGGTGATTTATGTGAAATCGGGGGTTTATAATGAAAGAGTGGAGATTGGGATGGAGATGAAGAACCTGATGCTCGTTGGCGACGGAATAGATAAAACTATCGTCACCGGGAATCGGAACGTCCGCGACGGCGCCACCACGTTGAGTTCAGCGACATTTGGTATGAATCGAGGGATAATTTATTGAGTTGATTTTGAAATTGGGGGAGAAATCAGTAACCGACGTTATTGAAGATTTCTTGCTGTGTAGGTATTTCCGGCGACGGATTTTGGGCGAAGGACATAACCTTCGAGAACACGGCGGGGCCGGCGAAGAATCAGGCGGTGGCGGTCCGATCGAGCTCCGATTTATCAGTTTTCTACCGGTGCGGATTCCGAGGGTATCAGGACACGCTCCTCGTCCACTCGCTCCGCCAGTTCTACCGCGACTGCCAGATTTCCGGCACGGTGGACTTCATCTTCGGCGACGCGGCCGCCGTGTTTCAGAACTGCGAAATTCTCGTCCGGAAGCCGCTGGAGCACCAATTCAACACGGTGACGGCGCAGGGGAGAGACGATCCGAAGGCAAACACGGGGATTTCGATCGTAAACTCGCGGATCGCGGCGGCGGAGAATCTTCAGGGGGTTGAGAGCTACCTCGGGCGGCCGTGGAGGATGTATTCAAGGACGGTTGTGATGGAGACGGATCTGAGCGGAGTGATCGCCGGAAAAGGGTGGAAGGAGTGGAATGGGGATTTCGGAATTTCGAGTGTGTATTATGCAGAATATAACAACACCGGAGCTGCGGCGGATACCGCCGGCCGGGTTTCATGGCCGGGATTCCATGTGCTCACGGATTACGGCGAGGCTAATGGCTTCGGCGTCGCGAATTTCATCGGCGGGGATTCGTGGATCCCGGCTACCGGCGTGCCTTTCTGGGGTGGACTGTAAAAGGGTTAGGGTTCAACTATTGATCAAAAGTAAAAGTAGCTTCATGACTTAATTTTTTATGGAGGGAGATTGCATTAAAGAATTATTTTTGTTGATTGTGAATTTTTTATCTTTTACTTTTAAATAGGAATAAAGGTATATGTATTGACGTTATGGTTACACACATGACGCATCATAGGCATAGCGGGCCAACAATAGGTCTTGCCTAGCCTACCATGTATATGGCTTGTTTTTGTTGGACCTCACCTAATTCAAACAATATTGGATTCCACGGGACGGGAGGATTATTCAAAGCGAACCTCAACCTCAATTAAAAAAAAGTTTAAAATATCATATGTCAATCAAGAATAATTTAATAATACAAATTAAATCAATTATTTCTTGAGCATTCAGCATGCAACATATGATCCATTGTATTTTGGTATTTTAAATATATTACAAATTACAACAACTATATATTAATTTATACCCTTAAGTGCATATACAATTGGCTTATTTTCGATGACTTACCCTTGCCTAGAGGTCATATTATTAATTAAAGCGTTGGACAACTGATACACAATAACTTATACTCCATCTCAAGACTGTTGCCACGAGAAAGTCTTAAAGTAGCTTAGTAAAGCAGAGGCAACAACTAGACAAATTTTCTACTAATATTTCTTTCTCAATCTTTCCAATATGATTCCCTCCAAAAAATTTCTTTCGATTAATTCGCCAACTTCTCCTTGATTAGAAAACTTATTTCTTCTTTTCCTCTCTGTTACTTCCCGTTGCAACTATGTCATCGCCTCTTAAGCTGTAGATTTTTTTTAGAAAAATCCATGATCGGTGATTGTTGTAATCTTTTCTGTCTCTTTAGTCTTCATCTTTGTAGTTAATCAATTATTCATATTGAGATTCAAAATTAGTAACAAGTCTCATTGAATGCAGATTTTAGTAGTGTTATCCCAAAATTATTTTTGGAATAAAATTAATTGGTATTTTAATCTACTATAATCGGTTAGAATTGATGGTTGAAAGTAATGGGTTACCATTGGGACTGTGGATGTATGATTGTCATCCCATAAATTCATCTATTAAAAGAGCGGTTTATTGTGGAGCTCTATCGGACCATGCAAAATATTCATCGTCATTATTTATTTAAATTGCTTTCCTGACAAATTTTATTCATTTTATTTTTCTGATCTTGTCTTCAATGCAATTTCATTAAGAAGGATTCAGCTATTTTAACTCTTAATTGTTACTCTTGTTTTGTTCTTGTAATTCATTTGTTGCTTTATTGATTGAAATTTTGTTTACTGCATTTCGTATTTCAAGTCCAATTCAGTTCTTTTCGTTCCAGCATTCGATCACGTTTGATTTAGTTTGCTTTATTGATCTATTTGTTTTAATTAGTTTGGCATGTTACGGATCATTTATTGAAGAAGCCGAAGAATCCACCCAATTTTTTACCAATTCGATTTGTCAAGCCGCAGAAAAAATATTTTGAGTGATACTAGTTTGGAACACCCAGTGGGACTCTTTTGTCCTAATTCGTGAATCCATCTGACAAATTGTATATGGGAAGAGTGGATGACCTTAAACCGCATGGAATTTCAGCCGTCGCACCATGAAACGACCCTTTAGATTTCATAGTATTTGTCGGATATTCTTAGTACGGAAAATATGCAATAAAATCACTTAGTTGCACAAAGAAGAAATGAGAAAGGAAGATGTCTCGATGGACACGTCCAAGCAGGAGGGGATGATGTCCGTGGGCATCATTCTGCCGTCAACAGTTGAACCATCGATCTTAGCGCCACTGCAGGTCAGCCAGGTATCAATCATTCAAGGGAGCTAGAATATTGATGCTCAACAACTTGCATCAATACAGGAAAGGGAAGCAAGGACAAAGTAGGGCAGCAAACATCCTCTGCAGTGGCGACACAACCCAACATTGGTGCATGTTGCCCCACATCCCGTGGCAGCAACTCCAATTCATTCAAAACAAGGTTCACCTATTTTCTAGAATACTTGTGCGCCAACGACTAACCCAACCATATTTCCGGCGTCTGTTATTGCCCCTACATGGACATATATTGTCCCTATGCCTTTATGTATGGTGCTGTGAGGCATTTCTACAGTATGATAAGCGCATTTTAGCCTAGGGACACACGTTGGCTGGTGCGGCAGCCCCAATGGCGGGTCCAGCCCAATCTCCACCAGCCATTCCAATTCTGATGGGATTTGCGCCACATCACCGCCCCCGTCTATAGAAGACGCGCCTGAAAGAACTCGAGCTTATGGTGCGCCCAAAGGGGCTGCGCAGTAACCAGCTTTTTCGTAGACAACAGCAGTCCCGGCTCCACCAGCGCACAACGGGCCAATGTTGGCCTTTAAATATCTTGAGGCTCCCAATGAGCCTCCCAAGGCCTAAGACCAACATTGTTGCTTGCTAATCATCCCGACGAGCTTCTTCGTATAGATCATGAAACGATCACAAGAGGTTGTATGATAGATCTATAAAGATCTGCTCTGGTTGCCCGCGTGGCCGCATTATCATCAGTCATTCCCTGACTACATCGTGAAGAAACATCATCTCTTAAGGAATACTCATATTCTGTAATTTACTTTTTCTCTTCGAAGACGACTCGAGCCACCATAGAGCACATTAACTGGTTTACCGTGCAATGTGATGGTGATTTTGGATACAACAACCAGTTTAAATTGTAGCTATTCTCACTATCATTGACGGGAACAACATTCATTTGGTACGCCGCCCTTAGGCCTAGCTCGATATGGTTTTAGATAGAGCTCAAGAGTCTCTTTCATGAAAGGTTCTACAGCCCTTCCCCGGAGGTCACAATTTTTTTTTCTTACAAACCTCCAACCAAAAAATAATGAATTGGTCGGGTAATTCTTAGAGCATTTTAAGCATGCCGAAGGCCGATGTTAAATGCACATCTTTGAGGATTAAGTCCCCATTATGGCTTTGGAAAATATTCCTCCCTATCTTAAAGAGAACCTTGCACTTCAAGAATATCATAGCCTCAGCCAGCAAACCTCCAAAGTCGCGAGAGTTGGGCAACTTTTTCATGATACCTAAGGTGCGCGAGGACAAAAGCCATCTATCAGGCCCCATTTCGTTGAGGAGCTGAAAGAGGACCTTAACATCAAAGAGGGTTCAGATGGTATATGTTTGGCGGAAGTCACCCAAGGCAAGGCTTATGTGAGTCCAACCTTGAGGGCCTCGAAGCAAGGGGAGGATCAACTCGATGTCGATCCCCTTCTCTACATTGGTCATCGTTGTGGGAATTCACCTCAAAGAAGCTTCAGCCCCTGAACATTCAGCTGAAAGGAGAATATAGAAGCCTTCAACACCTTGAAGGCTTGTATTCGAACGACCCGGGCAAACTTTTCGGCCTCTGAGATACCCTTCGGTTTGGGATAGGTTTGCACCCTCAAATACCATCATCAAAGTTAGCTTAAAAATGAACGGCAAGGTGTGGGGGGTCACATTTTTTGATCAGGTTATTATCAAATTTCATCAGACTCGTCTGCCCCGGACTTGGCCAAAGGATGGGAGCTGGCAGTCAACCAAGCTCCCGAGAAGTTGACATCTGTCTCTATCACGGATGAGACTTGAATAGCAGTGGCAACAAGCTCAAAGGCGAGCCAAGAACATCCCGAGAGTTGCCAAATAATTTTTGGCACCGATCGAACAGTCAAAGAGAATTGCAACTGAAGCAAAGTCTGAATGGTGAGCAGCCTTGAATTGATCAAGTCACACAACTTCGTAAAAAAATAATATCGGATATTCATGAGGAATTCCATACATCCGTAATTTTTGAGGGGGTATTTTGTATCCAAAAATTATTTTTGTAATTAAATTAATTAATATTTTGAATCCCTATAATAAGTTAAAATTAAAGGTGGAAAAAACAACCACGGCCCGAAAGCCCGGTCCGAGCACGTCACAAAAAAAACATGCTTGGGCCTTCAAAATAGGCCCGAAACTTTTCAAGCCATGCCGGACCTGGCACGCTAATAAACCGGGCCGTGCCTGGGCTCATGAAATTCAGGCCGTGCCTAGCCCGTCCCGGTTTTTAAAATTAAATTTTAATAAATATATATATATATTAAATTTTGAAATAAAGGAAAAAAATTAAAACATGGCTTGATGGTAAAGTTCTTATTTTGTATTAGTTTGGTTGTGGGTTCAATTCTCCATTTGTTATTTATAATAATAATCGGAATTCTATAGTGCGCACCTTGCTTAAGGTTACTTTATTCTATTATGCATTAAAAGGACCAAGAATGTCTCATCAAAATCAAATAATAACCTTGCTTAAGGTTAATTTTAACCTTCTTGCCGTCACCTATATATATGTATCTTTTACCATCAATTGATTTTTCGATAATAGAAATAGTATGTCTCATCAAAATCAAATAATAACCTTGCTTAAGGTTAATTTTAATCTTCTTGCCGTCACCCATATATATGTATCTTTTACGATCAATTGATTTTTCGATAATAGAAATAGTATGGCATAGGCACACTGATGTCAGTTGTTACACCACAATCCACCCCAAGTGTGTCTATGAACTGAAATTAAACTAATTTTAGAACAAATTAAAGTAAGAAAAATGTCTTTTATCACGCGTTATTCATGATACTTAAGCACAATTTTTCTTCTCATGTCCAGTCTTCTTCAAAAGAAGCAAGTCTTATACACAGGACAAGCCTGATGAGCTTGAGCTGAAAGTGAGAGCAAGATCAATAGAACTAACATGTCCTCCAAAAGATCTAACTTAATTTTCCTTAATTTATAAGCAGTATTAAAAATATTTAGAATGTACTGCCTTATGTTACATTTTTCGTTATACCTCATGGTAATAAGACTCTTCAGAAGAGTACTCATTTCCGCCATATCTTTTTTGGTAAAGCATTTCTTAAGTTCGAAAAGTAACCCCTTAGCAGTAGTGATATCATTAGATATTGTACTCTGAAAACTTTATGAAGTGCATTTCTTAGTGATCATCGTACTTAATTGTTAGACCTATCCAACTTTTCAACCAACTGCTTTTCATCTGTAGTACTTTTTGCCGTATGAGTGGGTTGGTGTACTCTTAATGTCAAGTTAAGATTCATGCAGCCTAAATGAATCAATATTGATTCTTTTCAATGCCTAAAGTTGTTCACAGACAGTGTTGGGATTGAACACATAAATATTTATGAAGCACAATGAAGCTCAATAATA